TTTTTTAGAGTTGGGATAGAATTAAAATAATTATATTTGTCGTCTCGATTAATTAGTTTTTAATATTAAAAAATAAAAATATTATATTAAAATATAAAGAATCCAAGTAGGTTAATGTTGGACGGGATTTTTGTCATGCTTAAATTTCATTTTGTTGTAAAATAATAAGATAACTATTGATGATTATTTAATATTATCATGATGTATCGATAAATCTCTTTTTATCGACATTGTAAGCATATGCATGCTAATCTATAGCCGCAATCTTTTTATATTCTCTAAGCATGTGTGATATGTACCGTAATCAATTTTGCAATGATCTATAGCCGCGCACTGTAAGTTGTAATCCATAGCTGCTCACTTCAAGCCAAGGAGAATGATTATTAATAATTACTTTCCACTACCTTCTATGCTAATCAATTTTTTTTATTGTTGAACAATGATTACTTTTTACTAATGAAGGTGCATCTACATGACTGCATACATATTTACCTGTGTATACGTGGAGGAGCTAACAACTTTTGTCGTATTTACATGTGATGATTCTTATTTGCCACTTAATTGTTTATCTCGTTCTTATTCTTTTTAATATGTGTATAATTATTAATTTTAGTACTCGTATATCTGTCTATTATAAAATATTGTTACTCTTGAAGTAACACATGATTATTAATCTTCTAGTAATATTTTACTTGCTCCTAAAGAGTATATTTAATAAAATCTAGCGTAAACTTTATTTTTACTCTTGAATAGCAATTTTTTATATAATTTATTATTCTAAATAATAATATGTTGTTGCTCCTGAAGAGCATAATATTATTTTCAGTATTTCAAAATAATATTATTGCTCTTGAAAAAACAATAATAAAATATAACGTACTCTTAAAATAACACATATCATGAATAATATATAGCTTATTGTATTTATAAAGAAATACAAATTAAACAACTCAATATTGGGTTGTAATTTATCGCTCTTGACGAGTATGAATTATAATTTTTTATATTCTTGAAGAATATTGTCATATTGCTCTTGAAAAAACAATATTAATCATAACATGCTCTTCAATAGCACATTTTTGAAAAAAAATACATAATTTTGAATTGGTCTTTATCTATGAA